TCTTTTCAAAAATACATCTTTACTAAAAAATTCTATATGCTGGGGTGTTGGACTTAATTAGGAAGAACCTGCCCTTAATAAAAGATTGTTGGTCTGATTTAGTTTTATAATTTATTTATTGGGCTGAGTTATTATTAATATTATCAAAACACTATTATTATATGTAATATCTATAATGTATGTAATTGAAATTATGTTATAATATTCTTGTTATACCACTGAAATCATAAATGCATATTTAACTAATTTTCCATTACAAATTTAAAAAACTATTTTTAAAATATAGAACTACCTTTGTTAGTCAGGTCTTTAACGCTTCTTTTACGATTGATTATTGTGCTTTTGGTGGTGATCCTCTTCATCGAAGAACTATTTTTAAACCAAAACGACATGGTGTTAATTCAGCTGCGGGAAGACTGGAATACTTTTTTGTTTATTCTTAGACATTTATTTCATATTGTCAGTTTCATAAACAAATTTCCTGAATGGTTCAATTTGGTATTTCTGATTTTCATGGCCCATCCCATAGGACCGTTAGATGCCCTGCCAGCCACCAAAGTGGCATTCAGAACTGTGTGACCTGGCAGTCCGTTGGCATCTCAACTAATGAGTAATTTCTTATGATATGCATGTGCATCGAAATTGGTTTTCTGAACTTTTCTATACACTACAACATACACTAAAACATATGTCAAATGCATAAATTAAAACATTCTTCAGCTATTGTACAACTGAAACACTGAAACTGCATACGCATACAACATTGGATTTCATAAAGCATGCCATGCATAAAGCATCATGGTCTGCATAAAACATATCATGGATTACATAGACACATCAGACCAGTTTTAGGAATATAACATGGCATGAACATACTATCCAATCAATTGGCAAAAATCTAATCTGTTTTGCCCTTTTAGATATCCAGCAAAAACATATGCATATTTCATTTATATAAATGCATTACTAAGGTCATTCCAATTGGCTTTTACATATCCAACAAATACATATGCATATTTTATTTATATAAATGCATTACTAAGGTCATCCCTAGTTAAGCTAACCAAAATTCGTCCCCACACTAAGTTTTCATTGAAGTACTTCTGATTCAGTGTTACTGTCCGCACTGATCTTCTAGGTATCATTGGTCCTGCTTCTAACCATTCTTGACAATCTTTGCATAAGTATTTGTCAGTACGGCTATTTTTGTTTACTGGCCTCAAGCAGTAAAAGTGACTTAAATTGCCATTACACAAAGAGCATGGTTCCAACCAAGAGAGCCCAGGATAGTGTCCACATGTATGACATTTTGGCCAAGAACATTTGTTGCATAAACAGCTTCTCATCTTTAATTGCAAAGGAAAAAAATACAATTATTTTTTACAAATAAAAGGATTTTAACTGTTGTAATCAGTTTAAATACATTTGGTATCAGTGTTCATTGCATAGTTTCATTTAGCATTGTCAATAATTAGTTATGAAACATACCTTTTCTTCACAGTCAACTGCACTGGTCGTAGATATTCTTGAGCCTTTCTCACACTTTCAGTTGTTAGAATTTTTGGTTGAGCTCATAAATGAGCTTCTGAGCATGGAGTAAATGCATTGGGAGTTATATATCCATTGACTTTACAATTTTGGCTATTGACCATTAGTAAGTTACCTTTCTGGAATATTTTATAATATTTGCTGTACATCTTCATTTAATTCCAGCAGACCTACATTCCATCCTAGAATTAATACACTGTGGTGTATTAATATTTTTGAGTAGTGCTACTCAAGTGCTTTACAATAAATGTCTGCCCCTTGACTGTTTCAAACCCTACTAACCATTGTACTTAATGAACAGTTTTGTTCATATGTGATGATTACCTTTAAGCACAGACCCAATTTTTAAAAACATGCAGATTTAATTCTTTTGTTATGTATGAATATTTTTTAATAGATTTTTGGTGTTCGCGTTTAATTTATTTTTCAAATTTTTTTTTGAAAATTTTAAGAATACACTTCCAAAAATAATTGGCACGTATTTAAAATTATTTTAAAATAAATTCAATAATTGGTACGTACACTTCCAATAATTGGTACGTATTCTTAAAAATTTCAAAATAAATTTTGAAAAATAAATTAAATGTGAACACCAAAAAAACTATTAAAAAATATTCATACATAACAAAAGAATTAAATCTGTACGTTTTTAAAAATTGGGCATGTGCTTAAAGGTAATCATGACATATGAACAAAACTGTTCATTAGGTACAATGGTTAGTAGGGTTCGAAACAGTCAAGGGGCAGACATTTATTGTAAAGCACTTGAGTATGACTACTCAAAAATATTAATACACCACAGTGTATTAATTCTAGGATGGAATGTAGGTTTGCTAGAATTAAATGAAGATGTACAGCAAATATTATAAAATATTCCAGAAAGGTAACTTACTAAAGGTCAAGAGCCAAAATTGTAAAGTGAGTGGATATATAACTCCCAATGCATTTACTCCATTCTCAGAAGCTCATTTATGTGAAGAAAAGGTATGTGAGAAAGGCTCAAGAATATCTACGACCAGTGCAGTTGACTGTGAAGAAAAGGTATGTTTCATAACTCATTATTGACAAATGCTATATGAAACTATGCAATGAACACTGATACCAAATGTATTTAAACTGATTACAACAGTTAAAATTCTTTTATTTGTAAAAAATAATTGTAATTTTTCCTTTGCAATTAAAGATGAGAAGCTGTTCATGCAACAAATTTCTCGACCAAAATGTCGTACATGTGGACACTATCCTGGACTCTCTTGGTTGGAACCATGCTCTTTGTGTAATGGTAATTTAAGTCACTTTTACTGCATGAGGCTAATAAACAAAAATAGGCATACCGTCAAATACTTATGCAAAGATTGTCAAGAATGGTTAGAAACAGGACCAATGATACCTAGAAGATCAGTGCGAACAGTAACACTGAATCAGAGAAGTACTTCAATGAAAAACTTTGTGTGAGGATGAATTTTGGTTGGCTTAATTAGGGATGACCTTAGTAATGCATTTATATAAATAAAATATGCATATGTTTTTGTTTGATATGTAAAAGCCAATTGGAATGACCTTAGTAATGCATTTATATGAATGAAATATGCATATGTTTTTGCTGGATATGTAAAAGGGCAAAACAGATTAGATTTTTGCCAATTGGGTGGATAGTATGTTCATACCATGTTATATTCCTAAAACTGGTGTGATGTGTCTATGTAATCCATGGTATGCTTTATGCAGACCATGTCATGCTTTATGAAATCCAATGTTCAATGTTGTATGCATATGCAGTTTTGAAGTTTCAGTGTTTCAGTTGTACAACAGCTGAAGAATGTTTTAATTTATGCATTTGACAGATGTTTTAGTGTATGATGTAATGTAAAGTGTATAGAAAAGTTCAGAAAACCAATTTCGATGCACATGCATATCATAAGAAATTACTCATTAGTTGAGATGCAGACTATTAAGGATCAATGGTTATTTGGTGTTTCAACTTATCAGGCCAACGGACTGCCAGACCACGCAGTTCCGAAGGCCACTTTGGTGGCTGGCAGGACATGTGACGGTCCTATGGGATGGGCCATGAAAACCCGAAATACCAAATTGAACCAGTCTGGAAATTTGTTTATGAAACTGACAATATGAAATAAACGTCTTAGTATAAACAAAAAGTATTCCAGTCTTCCAGCAGCTGAATTAACACCATGTCGTTTTGATTTAAAAATAGTTCTTCGATGAAGAGGATCACCAAAAGCACAATAATCAACCATAAAAGAAGCGTTGAAGACCTGACTAACAAAGGTAGTTCAATATTTTAAAAATAGTTTTTTAAATTTGTAATGGAAAATTAGTTAAATATGCATTTATGATTTCAATGGTATAACAAGAATATAATAACATAATTTTAATTACATACATTACAGATATTACATATAATAATAGTGTTTTGATAATATTAATAATAACCTAGCCCAAATAACTCAGCCCAATAAATAAATTATAAAACTAAATCAGACCAACAATCTTTTATTAAGGGCAGGTTCTTCCTAATTAAGTCCAACACCCCAGCATATAGAAATTTTTAGTAAAGATGTATTTTTGAAAAGACCATAACACAGAATACAAAATCATTTTAAAACAATCTACATTCAGTGGTATGCTATTGTGCAAAGGAGGATAACTCAGGAGCCTCGAAAAATACCAATTTTGGGTAAAATATGAATCTGTAAAACCAGATTCTATCTATAAGTCCAAAACAACAACCTTTCATAGATGTAAAACAGGCTTTCAAAGGCCATTAACAAAACAGACCGGTCACATTTACGCCAAAAAAATAAGCTTAGTAGATAATCCATGCAGAATAAAACTAAAATTTTAAATGTTTTTAAAATATCAATAAGCCGAAGAAGAAAACAGATCAAAGATCCTTTAGAATCACTCAGGGATTAAGCCATGTATGAGACCAATCCAAAACATGAAAAAGTTAGATGTAAGATTCAGGAGTATTCGAGAATAATAGAGTCTGAGATTAGTATGTTTCACTCGGACTTTGTATTGAATCTTTACAAAAAAAATGTGTGTAAATATGAGTGTGATGAATTTAAACAACAAATCTGAGATGAACTATTCCACAGACCGTCAAGGTTGAAATAACTCATATACAAACGCAAAAAAAATAGACAACTCTGAGATCATAGAGTATCACTCAGGCTTAGTTGATAATCTAAAGAGAACAAAATTAACGTTTAAAATACAGATCCGCCAAAAAGGAAAAATAAATCTGAGATCATAGGTTATCACTCAGCGATTGAAAAAAAAATGGATTCGTCACGAAAAAATCTGAGCATCCAAATCACATGCAAGTGCAAACCAGTACAAAGAATCAGACCGAGATCATTGAATATCACTCAACCTTCATACAAAATCAATACGACAAAAAAATGAAGGAGGTTTGAGATTTGTACCCCAAGAATGTAATCGCAGGCCTGAGTTCCTTTGGTATCCCTCAGCCTTGCTATAAACTTCATCCCCGGTGAAAAGCACTGATTTTGAGCAACGAATGACCACATCAACATTTTATAGATTGTCAAGGTCTAAAAAATGGCTGAGGATGAAAAGTGTAACAAGGATGGAATCAGATCTATAATAGGAGTTAGAGATATTCATTGAATGGTATCTGTACCATTAAAGCTAATTTCTGGGATGAACCGATGGATAGAGAAGGGATCCGCTGGCTAAAGTGTCGGACTGGTGGATAATTAGGGTTTGGGAGTTGGGTAGAGGGTATATATAGTGAGGAGGGCGGGCTGGTCATATTGGGCTGAGCTGTTGGGCTGGGGTGTTGGACTTAATTAGGAATAACCTGTCCTTAATAGAAGATTGTTAGCCTGATTTAGTTTTTTAATTTTTTTTAGGCCGAGTTATTTGGGTTGGGTTACTATTATCATCATATGATTATTATATGTAATATGTGTAATGTATGTCATTATAAATTATGTTATAATATTCTTTATTATCATATTTCATTTTTGCAAATATGAAATAACACAAATATTATAAAGTGTTATGAAATAATATTTCAAAAAGATTCCAACAAAAAATATGATAAATTATTATAATATTATTACTAATATTGTTATTGTGATATGCTATAATATTTTTTTAGTCATTTATATTTTTTAGTCATTTATATTATACGTTGTTATGTACATAGTACATGATAAATGATACATGATTATAATGAAATCGTTCTGAAAGTTCACATTTAACAAAGCAAGAGTTTTTTAAAAAAATTTGGTATAAAGAAATTTAATTTTTACAATTCTTTTCTTATTAAGGAATTTTATTTAATATGGTATAATGAAAAACATATAAATAATAATGTTCATTAATATATCATGAATTTGAATATGTTGTGTATGTGTTTTATCTTGGCCAGAAAATAGTGACCCAAATCACACGAAACATGTACCGCAGCGTGCCAAAAAAGGCAGTAAATGTTATTACGTTATTTAATTATTTTATAGTGGCTATAGATGATTTTATTAGTTTGAATTTATGGTCCTATGACATTATACGTAATTTTGAAATGTAGTTCGTTCTTTGTCATACAATGGCTTTCCAAATGAGGGATCATCAGTTGTAAATCATATATCTGAATCTTGGGTTGTTCATCATGAGCATCAAGAAGCATCAAGACAAGAAGATGATGTTTTGACCCACCAAGAGGAAGAGGTTGAAGGTCTGATCATGTTTTTATCCCAAATGAAACCATATTCTAACTTGCATAAGGTCGCGTTTATATTGGATTGTTACGATGTCAAAGCTTATGCATTTTAAATTCGTCACAGACCCGATCAATGCGGAATATTGGAGCATAGGTGACCCGTCACACAATTGTGCATCTTGTGGGGCATTGTTTTGGTATGAAGAAAGAATTGTTAGTACTTCTTCAAAAAAAGATCCCAAGTATTCTTTGTGTTGCGGTCAAGGGAGAATTAAACTACCAAAATTAAAGGAGCCACCTTTGGAACTACACCAGTTCATTCATGGGACGGATGCACTTTCTAGGCATTTCCAAGAAAACATTCGTTCGTACAACAACATGTTTTCGTTCACTTCCATGGGAGGAAGGGTAGATAGAACACTGAACAAAGGTGGATCACCGCCTATCTTTAAGCTGAGTGGACAAAACTATCACCTCATTGGGAGTTTGCTGCCCAAGGAAGGAAGTGTGCCAAAATTTGCACAACTGTATATATATGACACCCAACATGAAGATATTAATCGTTTGAGCTCAGTGAGGTAAATGCATTTACCTTGAAACTCATAAATATATGTAATCATGCACACATGTTGTCCGCTATGAATATATGGTATTTTTTATGTTATGTGGTATTTTTGATGTTATTTGGTTATATCGTTTTAGGGATGATGAAAAGAAGATCAATTTGCATGCGCATATTGTGACTACATTAAGGAAAATGTTAGACCAACATAATGTTTTAGTTAAGTCCTTTAGGATGGTCAGAGATAAAGTAGCTGAGGGTGGGGAAAAAAAGTTTCTCTGAAGTTAATAGGGAGGAGAACCAAGGATGCCAGAACTTATAATTTACCCACAGTTTATGAGGTCGCAGCGTTGGTGGTGGTTGATTTTGATGAATCACTTGGGCAAAGAGATATCATGGTTGAAACTCAAGGAGGGTATTTGAAAAGAATAAACGAGCTAAATCCAGCGTATTGGGATTGCAATAGCCACTTTTGTTTCCATATGGCGAGGATGGGTACAGGGAGGATATAGCCTTTTCTGATGAGAAATCGTCAAACACGTGTGGTCGACGGAGTGTTAGCATTAGAGAGTTTCTTGCTTACAAATTGCATGAACGAGCAAGCGAGGACTCTTTCATCTTTAAGAGTAGGAGACTATTCCAACAATTCACAGTTGATGGATAAACAATGGTTGAGTCGTCAAGGCTAATGTATATTAAAACCCATAAAAAAGAACTGCAGTGTGAAATGTACAAAGGCCTATCAGATGCTTTGTTAAGCGGTGAGAGGGATGCGTCAACACAGGGTAAGCGAGTTGTCCTTCCACCGACATTCGTTGGGGGCACTCGATACATGGTTCAAAATTATCAGGACGCCATGACTATATGTCGGTGGGTAGGGTACCCAGATCTGTTTTTGACTTTCACGTGTAACCCAAGATGGCCTGAAATTAATACATTCCTTTCTTCAAGGAATTTGAATCCCGAAGATCGTCCAGGTATAATTTGTCGAGTGTTTAAGATGAAGTTGAATGACTTGATCAAATACGTAAGACAAAGTAAAGTATTTGGACAAATTTGAGCAGGTATATTCAGTTCATCACATGTGTAGCTTCTTATAAATACACAAATATATATGTTTGTTTGTATGTGTAATATAATAATAATTGTTATGTTGACTCTTCGCAGTGATTTACACGATCGAATTCCAAAAGCGTGAGCTACCGCATGCTCATATTCTATTGTTCATGGGGAATGCAGACAAATTCTCCACCCCAATAGACATTGACCGCATAATTTCAGCTGAAATACCTGATGAGGGGGCTGATCCTGATTATTTTAAAGCTGTGTGCACACATATGATGCACGGACCATGTGGCAGTGATGCAAGGAACGCCCCTTGCATGGTTCAGTCCAAACGTTCAAAGCACTTCCCAAAGAACTTCAACGAGCAAACTAACGTTGATGAAGAGGGTTATCCTAAATATAGGAGGCAGAATGGGCAGAACAATTGTCAAAGGAAAAACACCACTTGACAATAGATATGTTGTGGCCCACAACAGAACATTGTTGATGAGGTATGGTGCTCATCTTAATGTGGAGTGGTGCAATCAATCGAGATCAATAAAATATTTGTTCAAATACGTGAACAAAGGAAATGATCGTGTCACAACAGGATTTTATGAAACAACAGATAAAGATGACACTGAGAAACCCGTTGATGAAATAAAAATGTACTATGATTGTCAGTATATTTCTCCATGAGAGGCAATGTGGAGAATTTTTGGATTCGGAATTCAGTATAAGAATCCAAGTGTTGAACGTTTGAGCTTTCACTTCCGTAATGAGCAGTATGTTTATTTTGAAGATGGTGCAACGGTAAGTGAAGTCGTGTTGCGAGAATCTGTCAAGGAGAGTATGTTTCTTGCATGGATGAGAGCAAATGTCGAGTACCCCGAGGTAAGGGATTTAACTTATGCTGAATTCCCTCAAAAGTTTGTCTGGAAAGCCAAAACAAGAGAATGGTAACCTCGGAAGCAGGGGTTTGCCATAGGCCGTCTAATGTATGTGCCTCCGGGATCAGGAGAAGCTTATTATTTGCGATGTGTCCTTAATTTGAGGCGTGAGGCTACAAGCTATGATTATCTTAAAACTGTGGATGGAATTACTCATAATACATAGCACGATGTGTGTTTCGCGTTAGGGTTGTTGGATGATGACAAGGAGTACGTTGAAGGATTCTCAGAAGGTAGTTATTGGGCTATTGCATGGTTACTCAGAAAGTTGTTTGTCATTTTATTAGCAGCTGATACAATGAGTAGACCAGAATATGTGTGGGACAAATGTTGGACATTTATGTCAGATGACATTCTACACAGGCAAAGAAGAGCCTTAATGCATCCAGGTACTAAATAGTTCATATATTACACATACATATATCTTTACAAACAAATATGTATATATACATATATGTATTCATATTCAAAACCTTACATAATATATTACACATGTTATTTGATATTACTGTTTTGATGCATGTAATATCAGATTTGAAGTTGACCGAGGCTGAGATTAAGAATTATGCATTGACTGAAATAGAAATGATGTTAAGGAGAATTGGTAGGACTTTAAAGGACTATCCATCGATGCCATTTCCAACGATAAGTGATGCTACCATGTATCAAAACAGGCTTATTTTTTACGAGTTACAGTACGATCGTGCTGCCCTGCGTGAAGAGCACGACAGATGCATGCAGAGTCTCAATGATGAACAACGTCAAGTGTACACAACCATTATGCAATCTGTTGAACAAAATAATGGTGGGGTGTTCTTTGTATATGGTTATGGAGGTACAGGGAAAACATTTGTGTGGAAGACGTTGTCGGCTACTTTGAGGTCCAAAGGAGAAATTGTTTTAAATGTTGCTTCGAGCGGCATAGCAGCTTTGTTGTTACCAGGTGGTAGGACGGCAAATTCACGCTTTGCAATACCAATCAACCCGAACGAAAACTCCACATGCAACATCAAACAAGGTAGTCCATTGGCTCAATTGATAATTAGATGCAAGCTGATCATATGGGATGAGGCGCCGATGATGCACAAGTATTGCTTCGAAGCCTTAGATAGAAGTTTGTGGGACATCTTGAGATTCACTAATTCAAATAGTGCTGAAAACCCCTTTGGAGGGAAAACAGTGGTCTTCGGGGGAGACTTCAGACAAATTTTACCTGTCGTTACTAAAGGTACTAGACAAGACATTGTGAATGCCACGATTAATTCTTCGTATATTTGGCATGAGTGCTTGGTATTACGTTTGACAAAGAACATGAGGTTGCAATCATTGACTGATGATCGTGAGTACGAAGATTTGCTTGAGTTTGCTAAGTGGATTGCGAGTTTAGGGGACGGGATTGCTGGGGAAGATAATGATGGTTTTGCAAATGTTCAGATTCCAAACGAGTTTTTGCTAGAGTGTGGAAGCGACCCCATTGCCACTATTGTCCAAAGCACCTACCCAAACTTTGAGAATATTGTGAATGACCCGACTTACTTGCAAGAGCGTGCAATTCTAGCTCCAACCCTTGATGTTGTCGATGCAATTAATGAATACATGACTTCTATGAATGTTAATGAAGAGTCAAAGACATATCTAAGTTCAGATAGCATTTGCAAGTCAGACTCGAATGCCAATTTTCTGGCTGATTTGCATACTCCAGAGTTTCTAAACAAAATACGTGCATCCGGAGTTCCAAACCATGAGTTAACCCTAAAGGTTGGTACTCCAATAATGCTTTTAAGGAATATTGATCCTTCCATGGGGCTTTGCAATGGAACAAGGTTAATTGTTACAAGACTTGGAAATCATATCTTAGGGGCAAAAATTATGGGCGGAAAATATGTCGGGCATGAAGTTGTCATTCCGAGGTTAAGCTTAACTCCTTCAGATTCAAGAATACCATTCAAGTTTCAGAGAAGACAATTTCCGGTCATGACCTCTTATGCGATGACTATAAATAAAAGTCAGGGACAATCTTTGTCTCATGTTGGACTTTGACTGAAAAAGTCGATCTTCACGCATGGTCAGTTGTATGTTGCAGTGTCTAGGGTAACAAATTCTAAGGGTCTGAAGATATTAATCTGCAATGAAGAAGGTCAATCAACTAACCATACCACCAATGTAGTTTATAAGGAAGTTTTTCGTAATGTGTAGTTTGTGAAATCCTGTTAACGTTTACTTTTTCCTGCTTATTCCAAAACATACTTACTACCTATCTCTGAGTCTTCGTTATCCGATCTTAAATCATAATTTAGTATACGTGTTAAGTGTGATAGGGTTATGGGACTAGGCCCAGAGCCTAATCGGCCCAGGACCCGAACTTGGACCAGCGGGCCCAAGCCCAGCAACCCAGAGCTCGAGTCAGCCCAACCAACCAGGGCAATCAAGGAGCGGAAGCCCAAGAGAGCCTGTCGACCAGCCCAACGGGGAGCCTGCGGTCCAGCCTACCCGGGAGCCTGCCTTCCAGCCTACCCGGGAGCCTGCGGTCCAGCCAGACTGGGAGCCTGCGGTCCAGCCTACCCGGGAGCCTGCCTTCCAACCCAGTGGGGAGCCTGCCTTCCAGCCTAGCCAGGAGCCTGCCGACCACCAGCCCAGCTGGGAGCCTGCGGTCCAGCCCAGGTGGGAGCCTGCCTCCAGCTCAACGGGGAGCCTGCCTTCCAGCCTACCCGGGAGCCTGCCTTCCAGCCTACCCGGGAGCCTGCCTCCAGCCCGGTCAGAAGCCTTCCTCCAGCCTAGCGGGAAGCCCACCGTCCAGTCCAGCAGGAGGGAGCTCAAGCGTCCAGCCTGCCAGCCAGGCTGACCTGCCAGCCAGGAAGAGTAACGACCAACAATCAATGCGCTACTTAATTATGTGTTTAATTCCGTATTAATGTTGTAATTAATTTAGTCATTATTATGTTCGGCAGTTACCATTTGTAATCGCCTATAAAAGGCAATTCGAATTTCAAATACAGATATGCTATTTCTGGCTAACTTTCCATATTCGTACTTTCCTAATTCTTGCTTGAGTGTCGTACGTAGCTTTCCTAAAAGCCTACGAGCGTCCTATTTTGGACCAACATTGGTGCTTTCATTGAGAGCCTCTATTGTCTCTCACATAACTTGAGTAGGAATCACGCAGGAAGATGGCTGGAATCTCGTCTCGACATGACCATGTCTCAGTCCACACCGAGGAGTCCGCCCGGTCTGGCCGCCAGCGTGCCCTCGACAACCATGCACAGGGCAGGAGGGCGGCGCGCCAAGGCGACCTTCGGAACCAATTATCAGGCCACGGCGACCTAAGGGCGACGCTCAACCACACTCAAGGTGAGCGCTCGGTCCGCAGCCGGCGGGGGGGAGGCCGACGTCATGCTCCGCGCATGGACCCGGCTCGACTCAATGCCGGGGTGGAAGCCCTGCAGGAGGCAACTCGGGTTCTGGGGACCTTGGCTCAAAATTTCCAACAGATGGTGTCTGGCGGAAATGTGGATGAGCCTGCCCGTCAACAGACGCCAGCGGATGTGGAGGTGTCCTCCAGGCGGCGTGATGAGCGACGCTCTGGATCCAACCAAAACAGGGGGGAAGAAGTCTCCCATCGGCGGGGGGAAGAAGTCTCTCGGCAGCCTAGCCGACCCCATCGGCAGACGGGGAGGGGCGCCCAGCAGGGGCGCCCAACGCAGATGGAAGGAGGCGAGCCCTCTCGCCACTCTCACCGGGCGAGCAGTCGGACTGGCTCCACGGAGAGGCAAAACGTGGGGCCCCGACCTCACGCGCACGGGCGACTTGGAGGTGCCGCCGGACATGCCCAGCCCCGCGCTGGAGCTGTCCGGGGGAACCCACCGCCGGCCGAGGTGGAAGATCTACGACAGCGCCTTGACGAGTTGAGAAGGAGGGTTGTCGGGGGGGAGCCTTACACGGCCGACCTCCGGATACCCGAACCCTTCACCCGGGCGGTCATGGATGCGCCGTTGCCGAGGGGCTACAAGCCCTGCGCCATTGAAGCATACAAGGGCGCTTCGGACCCCCAGCATCATGTATCTCGGTACCTTTCCTACATGGTCATGATGGGGTACGAGGACGCAATCCGATGCCGCGGTTTCTCCGCCACTTTGGATGGCCCGGCTCGTGAATGGTATGACTCTCTACCCGACGGGAGTATCACGAATTTCCGTGAGTTGGCTCAGCGCTTTCTCTTGAGGTTCGCGAGCTCCCGAGACGTCAAGAAAAACTTCAGCCACCTGTTCGGCCTAAAACAGGGGAAGAAGGAATCATTGTCGACCTTCCTAGCGAGGTGGAGGGCCGAG